TTTCAGTGGTAGTCTTTCTTTTCAGGCTTCTTCTCCCAAATTGCTTTTCCTTGTAGCTGTTCCTTGTCCCCTCTGCCATCTTTCTCGTTGGTGTCAGGAGAGGAGATGTCTCTGAAGGAGAGAGACCAGCAGAAATTCACTGCTGGTTTGCTTGGAAGAGGCCCAGCTTTGGTCTAAGCAGTGCGAGCTGTGAATACACAGAAAGCTATTCTCAGCCTCAGTTAGAGCATGTCCAGTGTGTAATCCTCAGGAAATTAAGCTGCAGAGAATGTGCAAACTGTATTTATTTCCAAGAGCTTTTAGCTTTCAGGAATGGAAAAAGTTTTACCCCAACCAAAAGAAAAAAGAAGCGCTATCTTCTCCCCAGTTTTTTAGATTCTTCTCCAGAGTATTGAGTTATTAAAGCTGCTACAATAGTTTGTTGTGACTGAAATTGTATTAACCTGTGATTTTTGTTATAAACAGTGATTTTACTTTCACTGAAAGTTTTTATGGATGTTGTGCTTGTGTGTGGGTATGTGTACCTAAAATGAGACAACTAGCATGAGAGATGTTGTGTGGACTGATGAAGGCCTGGCAAAGTTATCAGCTGTGTAAAGCAGGATCTAACAGAGACCCCCACAATAGTGCACATTCAGCAATCTAGAGGCTACTTTGATTGGTGTTTCTGAAGTTTCAGTGATGTTGACACCAAAGTTTACAAATATTGAAATATATTTGATCATTTGCATTTTTGCTTAAAGATAATTTTGGATGTAAAACAATGATGTGTTTGTCAAAGAAAATATTCCTGCTTGGAATGTAAGTGTGTAGGTGAGTTTGCTGATGATGCTGGTATGTACAAGGTGAATTACATACACATCTTGTGTTTGAAAGAGGGGTACAAAGCACTGGGTTGGAATCAAGCGACTCAGAGATGTAATCTCAGCTGTCATTGACTCCTGTGGTTTTAGGGCAAGTTGGCTTGACTCTTTCTGGTTGTACTCCTCATAAAAGTCTCACTGAAGTGCTGTTAGAAGAATTATTACATATTTTTCTGTCTTCAAGGCATACTAATATACGTTTACATGTTAGCATAGTGTTAAGTTTATCATTAGACTGAAATTGCTTTGCAAGTGAAGGATAGTGCTGTGTCTATCTCATATTTCTTTAAATATTCTTGAGATATCTTAGGAGTGTTTAATAATACAGATCTTTCACATGGAACGAGACATTTAACTGCTATGTAAACATCTGTGCTCTAAATGTTATGAATTAATTTGATCAAGGGACTTTTTGGTTACTTCCTCAGCTCAGAAAACAGTGATGTCGCTGACTCTGTGGAGCAGGTCTATGGCACGCGTGCAGAGATGCTGCAAAGGCTGCAGCAGATGCTGCCATCATAGCAGCTTCCCTGTCTCCTTGTTCCACACTGCATGTATCCCTTCCCTGTAGTGTCTGTAGTTGCTGATGGGGTTTGCTGAGCTGCCTTGCCTGCAGCTGGTGGATGAGAAGCAGAGGGGGAGAGGGAAGGGAAGGTGAGCTCCTGGGCTTTGGGAGCAGCCTGCAATTGGATGGGGTTAATCCATCCATTAAACCACACCTCAGGCCAAGTGTCCAGTGCCATGCTCACCAGAGCATGCCATGCTCCTTACAGTAGCACGTATTTACAGTGCTGCAAGCTACAGTGTATAGTCTACTGAAAGTGCACGTTTGAGTTGCCTTCCCTAGTCTTCCACAGTGCAGCGGCTTGCTTGGTGTGCTGGGAGTAACCGAACACACTTCAGCGATGCATTTTCTCTGTAACCTGCTCATCAGAAACTGGTTAAACTAGTTTGCTATTGGAACTCTCCCCAGTCCCTCTCCTGGATCCTGTCCTGCTTTCTGTAAATCATCACCTTCCTGAGGCTGCTGAAACTTTTCCTCCTATCAGTTAGGCTATAGTTTGTATCTTGAAACATAAGCCCTTGCTTTCTCAGCCAGAGAGAGAGAAAGCTTTCTTATTTGTGGAAGCTTTTCAAAGCTTTATTATCCATGCCTTTAAAGTTCCCAAGCCCTTCATTCTGGGGGAGAGACGTGCAACTGTTAGAGTTTCTTCATGGTTAAGAAAACCACACTCCTGGGCTGGGCAGTTTGCTGTTTGGGAGAGAAATGAGCAGGGCATGATTTCCTGATCTTTGTCATGCTGTTGTGTACACACAGTTCCTGTTACTTATTATTTTCAGTCCAAACTGATTAACAGGATAGCTCAGAATTTACATTTGCAGTGTATCTTCCAGGTTCTCAGCAAAACCAGCTCCATTTAAGATACTCTCCATGGTCAGTGAGTAGCAAAGGTTTTACTGTAGAAACTGTTGCTCTCTGTATTCCTGTATCAAACACTGAACTTGATCTGTGTGCATAACCAGTCCCATTTCAACTCCTGAAAAATTCCTGACACTGTATTTATCAAATTTGAATATTCTGTTATTGCACTGGAATAAATCGTGGAAGTATATAAATAGGTGTGATGCTGAATAAAAGCAAAAATTACAAGATAAAAAAAAAGGTCAAATGCAAGTGCCTAATCAATGTTGTTGGTAAACAGGTTTAGGTTTTCCATTAAAGGAAATACTGTGGAAGATAATTTTGAGATGATATAATTATTTTTACATGAAAATTTGTAATTTTTTTAAAAAGAAAAACACCTTAACACTTTTATCTGAAACTCAACTGTAATTATAGGTAACAGGAGAATATTTTATGTAGCATAGAAAAAAATCATTACTGCATATTTTTATAAACAGAAATTATGATATATCGGAAGGCAAATTGAAGGAAGACATCTGATCATTGCAGATGCTGTTATTTTTCAGTTTTCCCATAGGGACTTTAGTAGTATTATATGAAATATTTGTGCACAGTTTGCCTCTCACTGGGTGCAGGTTGCTTTAGAAGTTGTTTTCAGCAAAAGTCACTATTACAGCATACTAGCTGTTTCCAGCACTGTCTTAAATTCTTTGCTTTCTTATTATTTTAAATTAAGTAGGGACA